AATCGATTGCCGCGCGCGCTCTTTCACCTGCCGACAGGTAGGCGACAGTGGATATTTTCTGAGAGACCCGCCGCGTCAAAAGCCCCGGTCCACACACACACGCAGGGAGCTTGTATCCAAGGAGACACGCCCGGCGGCGGCGGTGGTGGCGGCGGCGGTGGCGGCGGCGGCGGCGGCGGGTGTTGTTCACGGCGAATTAACCATAGACGCGCCGTAGGTTCACGGTTCGCCAGGCGCGCCCGCCGCCTTTCGCGCCTTCCGCCGCACCGCCGGCCGTCATTATGCACACCGTGCACACACCGAAGGCGGTGACTGGCGTCACGCGGAAACGTAATAATATTTCACTCCTCGCGTCGCCGCCACCCCGTATCGCGTCACCCCGTGTGAATATTATTATTATTATTATTATTATTGTCATTACCCGGAAAAGAGACGTCGAATAACGACAACAACAATAATAATAACCGCGGACGCATTGAAAACGACGAGTTGCTGACGGTATCCCGCGTTCCCGCGGCGACGACGATGACCTACACGCGTGACGTAACGCGCGCTGCGAATATTCGTGTCGCGGACGAAGTTAAATTTCCGTGGGTACACACATTTCGGTTCGCGTACGGTCAGATAAAGAAAAAAAGACGGGCGGGAGAGGGTGGCCATAAGAAGGTTATAAAAGGGCACCGACGACGTTAAAAAAAAAAAAAAAATGTATATAATATTCGTTATTAACGACGGCGTACGAAAATGTCTGACGCTAATGTTTAACGTTTTTTAATCGAACATTTTTTGCACCGCTGAATATAAAATAAACGTGAAAAAACTTTCGTTTTCATCTCACGCGAAGGCCCTCCGAAATGGTTGGTTAATTTTTTATTTATAATCTATAGTATTATAAATCGAAACGTTTTATCAAACCCGACGAAATTGTGTATACATAGACCTATGTACAAATATATATATATATATTATACAAGTTTACAAAGACGTTTATATTAGTTATTAAACGACGTTGTTAATGTTATTACGATGGGGTATTTTTTTACCGTTTTCTTTTTAAAAGCTAATATTTATAATCCAAAATTCTACCTAAGTGAAGTTGGCCACCCGACTCTGTTGTAGGCACTCCAAAACTGTGCCGGTATTTAGCAACCTTTTCGCAACTTTTAGCAACCAACATTAAAAAATTTGCAACTTGGTTTTTTATGAGTTTTAGCGACATATTAGGTAAGTTCTGTTTAAAGCTGCAAAACAGGGTCCAGATGGAGGCAACGTTGCCATCAGACACGACTGCTTGGCGTATTAAGTGTTACGTCATGTTATATAGGGTGCAGTCAATTTGCGCAAAAATATACACAACATGTGTTATTTGCATCAAAATAATGTTTTTTAATTTTCACCAAAATTCAAATAGATTATTCTTTCGATAGTACCTACGTACGAGTCGATAGTTTAAAAGTAGTTGACATCGAATCTGTAAGAACAAAATACAATTAATGTTAGTATCAGATTCAATTTCGAACAGATTATTATAGGTATTGAAGGCTGGGTTTCATGTTAATCAATTATGTTAACTCAGTTGAATTAACATTAAAGAACATTAATCAGTTAACACGTCGAAAGTTAATTGTTTTATTGATTACCTACGCCAAGTTCTTTTGAAAATTTAATAAACTTTTTAAGTTAAGTTAAATTGAATACATTTTTTGTTTTTGGTTTTATAAAATGATTACTGTAATAGTGAAAACGTCCGTAATAAACCGTAGAGAATTTGTAATTTTTTGTATTAAGATTATCATTGGTAAATATACGCATTATCGGGTGAAACAAAACAAAATAGTATTATACGATGGTATATCTTTTCAAATAGTGTATAGATTTAAATTTGACATCACGAGATAATTTAAAATTAACTCGTTTTTTTAATAAGTTAATGTAAACTAGACAAAAATTATGTTGAGCTATTCAACAAACCAAAGGTATTGAAGTCAGGTTAATGGTTAAAGTTAATTGAACTTTTCTCTTTTTCACTTTTAAATACTTTGGTTGTTGATATCTTTGATTATTAAAGGTATATTCAGGGACGGACTGGCCCGATCGGCTGGTCGGCGATTGTCGACTGGTCCTTTGCTCATGTTTGGCCTCTATGCTATGTTTTTTTTACAGGAAAGTTGGATATTTTGTCAATATTGTATTCGTTTTAGAATATTACGTGCTTATCCCGAAACCCAAGCACACTATTATACTTATACATCATATTATTATTATTACTTGTATATTACACGGATCAATACCCCGCGCGCCAAAAGAATTTTAAGACGAACGGGTTGCGGACAATTTTGCGAATTTGGTAATGATTATACAGCATATATAAAATATATATATATATTATATATTATAAATGTTATTGTGATTCAGAAGCCCAAAGTATAGCTAACAACTTATTAAAATTTGAAACAATACTCACAGCATATGTTTTCTAGTCGCTAGTTGCTTTAAGTTCTTCAGCCTCGTCATGTTTACAGTCAAAAAATTAAACTATACATTAGCTTTTTCAATATTAAATAACTTGAAAAAAAAATAATAATAGAAGGATTTAATCATTTTGAACTAGTTTTTGTAAAAGCGCCACTATTTGCTCAATATTTACAACCTATACTGAAAATATGAACGGTACCTACCAAAAATTCTTCATGGTCATGTAGTTAGTCCGCTAAGTAGCTAGTCCGACCCTGAGTATATTGAACATACTATCAAGGCTTGATAGTATATTGAATAATTATATTATATTTTTAACATTTTATGATTAATGTTAAAAAAAACAACATAATATTATCATTGTAGATTATTTACAATTATTACACTTCGTGCAGTTTTTTTTTTTGCGCTCCACTATGAAAATGATAATTTTGAGTTATTATGACCGTTCTGGTGGAAAAAAAATAACACGAAACAAGTATAATAATCGGTTGGAGACAACAGTAATATATTGTTTTCATTGGCATTCAATAAAAGTTTGAATTCACATCGTCACGTCGGTTGAAGTATATTATAATTTTTGATAAATCACGACCTACTTTCGATTTAATAATTTTTTATCGGATAATTACCTATTTTTGATTGTGCGTTCAGTGTTAAAACTAAATATAGATAATTACCTAATTAATCTATTGAATTTAAATACAAACAGTTTTATAGTAGTTTATCAAATTGAATATTATATTATACATATTATATCATAATGTATAAGCTGGTTTAGCGGGTTATACAATTATTGTAATCAATGAGGTGATTATATATTTATAAATTTGCTATTATTTTACTCAATGAATCATTTTCGTATATTACGCATTTCACGTATATGTATCTAATTATTAAATTACTTTTATTACGCTTTGAACTTGAAAGCATATAAATTGTTATTAAATAAAGTAAATAAATACAGGGTGATTTTTTATCATGGATCAGCAGTTATCTCAGAGGATTTTAAGTGAATTTGATTTCTGTTTTTCTAATTATTATAGAATCGTTTAAGCTTTATTTTAAAACTATTTTTAAATTTTTACTCCTATTCCATATACCTTGTGTGCATAATTTTGATTTTTAAATAGGAAACCCACCCCATTTTGAACATAGATTTGAATAGAAAATATTTTTCTAGAAATTTTGGTATACATAACACTAATATTAGATTTACCGTTTGTGAGTTATAACAGTTTAAAATTTAGACGGGAGGAGTGGAGAAGAGACGTAGATGGGCAATTTATTACCCTTCTTTCATTCGAGTAAGGAGTAAATGGGGATGCGATACTTATTGGAGATAGCGGTTAAGCCTCTGCTAGGTATTTGATGACCCCACTTCAAAAATATTATACACTAGTAGAATAGTTGTCTCCATATCAGGACAAGAAATGTGGTTAAAAGGTTCCTTGGTGTTTGAAAACGACATTATTCAGTGCCTTGTGATTACGAGTGAAATTCTCGAGAATTTTTCCTATTATTACGGAAACATTAGTATTGTATAACATTGCTTGATGATCTAGAAAAGAAGTCCCTAGTGGATTTGATGTGAGACTTTCTGGATCATGGGAAGAAATACTAGCCCAGGACGACATTCCTATGCATTATGTACCAAACCTTGTAAATCAACCGGTAACATAAAACAATCGCGCACAGCAGGCGTTGATAGAAAGTCATTTTGAGATGTAAATGGAAATAATTTACCTATAGTATACCTGTATTTTTATGCAGAATTGTAATGAATACAATAAATACATTTTAAATACTTAAAACAAAATATTGACCACAAAATTGTCTCATTATTTTATTTTTATTTTATTGTATATTTAGATTGGCTACACTGGATAAACAACAATAATCAAACCCAATGTTTTTACAATAATATTTGAAAGTTCTAATATTAATATTATGTTAATGTACGTATAATGTTCATGTGTATAAATTGTTTACTGTAAAATTTATAATACTAAAATATAAATCCAATAAACTAGACTTTTGTTTTATTAATTCAATTCTTATCATGTACTAAAACTTATTTATTATATTACAATTTGAAAATGTTGGCAATTTTAATAGTGACTGTGAATAATATCAAAAAACAAAAAAACATAATTTTAGAAGACTAGATAAATAAGGGAATATTCTTAGTAAAATGTGTAGGACAGAGAATTGTATGCAATATATATTATTTGATAAGCTTAGCAAAATACATATATAATGCATATTAATACAATGTATAAACGTGAATACAATTTAAAAAAAAAATTGTATACATAAATTAATTCGAAACGAAAAAAACATCTTGTTAAAATTAAAAATAAATAAAAACATAAACAAAACCAATATATCTCATTAATAAAAATAAATACTTTGTTACACACTACAGTCTTAATAGTCTTTAAATAATTATATTAACAGTTTAATAATATCTTTATAATAAACCTAGTCAGACTTAAATAAATTAAGGAAATGTAAAGAAAAAATTACTTCGTTTCATCGTTACCAGTAAAAATCCATTGTACACCGGTTTCTCTTTCTATTTGTATTTTGAGCAATTTAGTTCTCATCTCTTCCGGTTTCAACTTCTCTTCTTCCACCTTCAACTTCTGTTCTTGTTTTTTTTTAAAACTGTAGTCTCTCCATTTGTAATTTATTCTTTTCACTTCAATACTCGTTGAATTAAATGAAGCAATTCTAGTTTCTAGAAGAGTCTGTGATGCTGATTTATTTAAAACTGGTCTTCTACGAGATACACTTTTGTTACTACATCCTACACTTTGCAATGGACTTTTGGTCATAATGGACACTTTTAAAGATGCTTTATCAGGTGACTACATTTTTTTTTGGTGTGTTGGTGTTTGATTGAAGCCTGGAAGTGTAGGATAGTGACTAGGAAAATTATGGTAGAGGCTGGTGGATAGCAGTAGACACTAAACTCGAAAGATGTTGTAAATAATTTCGTTCAACATTTTTGTGAATACTAATGCTAAAACACACTGATTAATTTGGGTTACTAATCGATAGTATATTATTTTTGATATCAAAAAAACATTAATCGGGTTTTAAAAAAATATGTTTTGGCAATTCAATTGACAATTCAGATCATTGTGCGCCATTAAGTTTTATCACAATACAATTATTAATTTATATGTAATTTAATTATTGTACTATAATATTTATACACATGCACGTTTATCCGAAATGCATGTATATATTTTATAACACTAGTCACAATATTATTTCAATAAATTTAAAATGTTATAACTGAAGCGTTTTGGTGTATGAAAACCACATTTATCGTACTTAATTCTAAGTTCTATGTTCGTTTTGCTGGTATATAATAATCGGATAATGTTCAGTTTGTATTTATTTTAACTTTTTTTTATTTGTTTACTTCTCTGAGCCAAAACGTATGCAAAACAAAAACAAGTTTATACACTACGTATACTTGTATGCATATATATATATATATATATATATATATATTATATAAATCCCGGTTTTTTTTATTAAAATAGCTGAACGTGCAAGAATTGTGGGCCGATAATCTGCTAATGAATCTATGTAGATACCTCATAATATTTAATGTGAACTATGTAAATTTTATTTATATCATTGTATATTATAATACGCACGTGTATAATATCATAGTAAAAAAAAAAAAAAAAAAAGAAAAAAAAAAAAAAATGAATAAATAAATAAAAACGTAAAATAATCAACAGAAAATTTAATATTCTGAAATATAATAAATTGTATACTAGGCGGTTCAGATAAACGAATAAAAGGTTATTAGCCTATTAACTATACATGACGTTGACTATAAATAATAACGAAATAATATGTAGCGGTTTAAATTAATATAATTTAAAGGTAGGCATAGTCAGGTATTTATACAGTCGGTCGGATAATTTAATATTAAAGCTTCCTTTATTCTACTTGTGTATTATGAATAGTAGGAACGTAATTATTAAAGTAGTTATTTATATTCCATAAAAACCGTTAAAAAAGTTTACGCATTAATAATACCAAAATACGCGCATACATTTTAAAGTTCTGTACTATTATTATTTATTAGTATTAAATAATGTTATCAGCTCGCCAGCTGACATTAATGATTCTTGAACAATAATTATTATTCGTCTCTATCGTTAAGTTCAAAACGTCATAAAAATGTACGAAATTCTTAAATATGTTCCACAAATGCTTAAAATCTTAAAATATTCTCTAAGAATCCCACGATATCGTGTATTTAACAGAAAACACGGAATAATAAATATGTTCGTATAATATTTAAATGTGGAAACATCAAGCTGGTCTAGTTTAATATTGCAAGAAGCGAATATAATATAATAATATTACATCAAGATGTGGAGATACATTATAAAGCGTCATAATAATATTATATAGATGTGCCCGTGGTATTACGTCTTACTGACTATTGATATAATTATACGGTTTTAATTTAATGTCGTGAATCAAGACACGTTTAATAGATTTGGAGCGGTGAGAAGGAACTATTGATTTTACTATGATGTGTTTTTTTTTTTTTAAAAAAAATGTCTGTCTAAACTAATTTTTGAACAGAAAAATATTGCTCTAATGAAAGAATGGCAAGAGACCTTATTTTTGAATCTCGGGTGTAGTTGGTGCATTGCAGAAGTAATTTTTTGTATTCCAAGCAGTTTTCATAATAGATGGAAAAAATTACGTAAAATGAAAATTTTAAGACAAATTTACGACGTTATAATTAAATTATTTTATATTTTTAAGCTTTATGTTTTCTACTACAAATATAATTGCTCCATTAGTATAACAAAAAGAAACCATTTTTAATTTTTTTCGGTGAGTAACAAAAGTTGTTTTTTGATTTTCTATTTAGTTTTTTAATAATTGTTTAAAACCGAAAAAAGAAACGTAGAAAGACGGGAAACTTGTGGTTTTAGTATTTTCAATTTCGTTTTTAATTTTGTTAAAAATATTTGTAGAAACTTGAAATGTTGATAGAAAACTATGTAGTAAAATTTTAAAAAACATTTTGACGATTTTTTAGCTATTTGTAGGCATTTTCCGTTTGCGGATTTTTTCACATAGTTTTTATTTAGTTGGTGCTATGTAGATATCATTAATTGACCAAACAGAATTGCTTGGAAATTTAACAGAAAGTTCATTATAAGTTTTGTTTAGTGGCCAGAAAAAAAAAGTAGAGTGTCATATAGTAATTTTTCCATAATTATTTTAAGATCAAACTTTGAAGAAAATAAATCGTAAATATTACGGCTCTGTACATTTTGTATACACGAACTTCAATGAAGCACAAATTAGGTCCGAAACGTTAATAAAAGTTCTCCGGCCATTTTTCGATCGGGACGAGATTCTCGGTAGATGAGTGGAAAAAGAAGCACGCACCGTGTAGTAAAACCAATACGTTCTTCGGTACGCGCTCGGGGATCCTAGAGAAGAAAAAAAAAAAATTAATATTTAAGCGCCGGCACATCGTCTTTGTCCGACCACCCGTTTCTACGGTACGACGACGACGAAATAATAATAAATCGACACGCGGCGCGGCAGGTCTGCGGAGAGACGGCGGCGTGTTCGTCCGCTAGTGTTGCCGGCGACGACGTTGCGGGTAAACGACACGAAACTCGATTACCGTGGCGTTATTTGTATTATTAGTATGCCGACGTACGCCAAGTATAATATTTTCCGATATGTTATGTGACAAGTACGATTATTATTATACGGCGGCGGCGTCTTGAAAGACGTATAATAATGCACTGCGTATGGCCACACTGAGTTACCCGACGGTTACAATATTATACCTGCGTTTATCGGACGTGATATTATTGCACAGCGGTCGTGAGCGCCGGCAAAAGACCATCGAGGCGGCGGCGGCGGGGGAAAGCAAACATAATAATAATAGTAATAATAATAATAATAATAACGATAATATATTATAACGCGGCGGCCCCGGGGAGACCCGCCCGTGGGACGACCGAGCGGAGTGAAGAAAAAAAAAAAGAAAAAAAGACGCGGCCGCGGGAACGGTCGCCGCGGTTGACATGTTTATTCGGTCGCCGCGCACGCAGTTTAGTCGGTCTCCAGACGACGGCGACGGGAAACCGTCTCACGCTGAGCCGCCCGTAATCCGACGTTATAACAGTAATAACATTACTGCGTTATTATGTACGCGCGTAATACCTATACACGCGGCAGTTATATCAAACGACTTTTTTTTTCCCTTTTTCTCTCTCTCTCTCTCTCTCTCTCTCAATACGTATATTTATATTATTTTCGTCGATCGCGTTTTTAAACGGTCGGACCGGCGGCATCGACCGCTGAAAACGTACGCCGCCGCCGCCGTCGCTAATTGAAAATTCATTTATTTACGATTATCGCGCGATATCGGCGTTCTCGTCGTGTTTTGCGGACGGATTATCGTCCCGACGAGCGCATTATCGTAAATCGACGCGTTTCGACGCGCCCGACGATCGACGGCCGCCCCAACGATAATAGTATTACACACGTCCCCGTCGTTTTGTCGTGCAGTATACTACCGTTGTTATTATTGTCTACGGCGGCTGTACGTACGACTCCGCGACGTGAGAAATCCGCCGGAGAACGGACGATTTACAATATCGTCGGTCTTTTGTCGGGGGCTAAGGCCACCGACGACGATACGAAACCGCGCCGCGGAAACCTTTATCAACTCGCAGGTACCGCGCTACCGCCGCCAAAGGATCGAAAATCTCGATTTCACATAAAATTTTATGAAGGTTTTTTTTTTTTGTTTTTTTTGGAAACGCGTTTAAACATGCCCGACTCGGTACAATAAAATCGTGTACCGTGAAACTATACTAATTTGTTTTTTTCGTTAGGACAGGCGAATCTTGTGGAGTTGCCCCGCGGGGTTACGGCGTGTCCGCTATCGACATAACGTTTTCCTTTACGACCGTAAAATATTATATTATTATAAAAAAATAACAATATTATTACGTACTTATTTACTGTACGTCTCAATGATAATGTTTTATAATTTTAGATTTTGTGAATTTGAACGTTTCGTTTTTTCTGCAGTTTGTTAAAACTGTTCAACTAAAACTATTGCTCCGATCGAAAATTGACAACAACGTTTATCGAATTTCGGATCTAGACGGTGTATTGAGAAGATCGCTTTTTGATTTTTCTTGTGGTTTATTTAACAACGGGGAAAAACGTTACCCGTGACCAAAGATGTAGTTATTTGATTTTAATTTTAATTTCAGGGCAGATTGAATTTTAAATTACTAATAAAAAAAAAATATATATATATTTATCACTAATGTCATTATTATTCTACACGTTATAAATATATTATGCGACACAATTTTCAAATTCAATATCCCGACAAAATACTATCACTGCGCATACCTCACGTCCTCGCACAGTACCTATGTTTATAACGATTTCTCGTGATAAATATAATACCATATACTATATTATGATGAAACTAGCTGTTACATCCGAGAATTTGTCCACGTGGAATTAATAATACTCGGGAGAGGTATAGGTAAAAAAAAGAAGAAAAATTCGAATTGAAATTATTTCTCGCGAACGGAATGAATCACCGATCTTATACTATAATGTATACCTACATATTTTTTTTTTTTCACGTTCATAACTTACTGAATTTGACAATTCACATAAATTTAATAATACCTATACACATGCGCATGCAGTATAATAGTATTATATTGAAATATCGTCGGTAGATAGGTACGGTTTATTATTTCGAGAGAGAAAAAAAAAGATCTAATATTAT